GCTTGGGAGCATGACCTTTTCCTGAACATTGTAACATCTCTAGAACGAAAAATTTCCTAGATCTCATCCATCCCGTCTATGTACTAATGTCTTTTTGACACAAGGTGCTGGGTACAAAGTGTTGCTCACAACAGTTCTTCACCAGTCCAGCTGTTTGGGTTCCAAAGGACTTAGGGGGTTGCCTCTCGAACTCAAAGGGGTTAGGCTTATCCTTGAGCTGTGCATGTTGTGGATTCAGTAATGCTATGCATCCAGGTTATGGTTTACATGGACAATGGTTCGCAGAAAAACACGCCTCACAATCTTTAACACCCTAGCGCTTGAAGAGACTTGGCAGAGGTTGCAAAGATAGCACAGCGCCAAGCGCCAATGATAACATATGATCAAACTGCACCTCGAGTTTCCGGACTTAGCCGGCGTCGCGTCGGCTTAAAGCGTTTTCTTTTTCAAATGTTTTCAACACGCAACTTCGATGGTCACTCTGGTCGAGGTGGCACCAACGCTTGTCGACGCATGTTATCAGCATTTCCGCACTGAGCTCGAAGAAGTTCTCGGGTCAACACAGCACAGCGCAACGCGTGAATTTGGAATCACTTGAAGTGGAGGAAATTTCTGGAACAGATGTGTCTGTGTCTCACATGTGCGTTTCAAGCAGATGTGCGTTTCAGTATGTTTCATTGCATCCAAACATGTTGGTGATTAACATTTACCATGTTTCTTGCATGGTGGGATTGCCGCTAGATTCGGACAGATTCGGACACCGCAAAACGTGTGTATCATCAATGTCGTCGATTGGATCTGCTTTGGATCCACACGTTTTGACCTCCCAATGTCCGCGAAGGGTACTCGCATTCCGCGCACTGACCCGAAGCGATGCGGAATGGAATCGAATGAACTTGATCGAGAGGGTACGTTTTTTGGACCAATTGATGCACTTCAACTTCGGCGCACCAATCGTGTGCGCTTTGTAGATGGTGTAGCATTCACAACACTTTGTCAATTGTTTTTTGAACAGCTTTGGGTGGATCTGGGTGCTTCCCGGGATATTTTTGGTTTCTGCACTTCCCATTAGAATGTGTGGCACATCAAAACACATCACACACATATTTCATCACATGAATCTTGATTCATCACCATGACACCATGTATGTGCACATCATCTCCCGATTCACCCTGCACGACGTTTTTCCTGATAGACGTGACCGCTGGGCTTGGAACTCGGTCTACATGGGTACTGGGGCGGTTTCCTGAAAAAGGCTGAAACGAAAGGAAACCGTGTGAAATCGCTTGCTCGGCTTAGAATTCGGGGATTGTTACGGCTTGGAATTTGTAAAGCACCCTGGAAAGATTTCGACGTCGGATGATTTCGCGGTGTGTACCTTAGCTTGCAGCGCCGTGTAGTTTGGCGTCTTGCTGTCCTTAGTGCCGAGCTCAGAGGCCGTTGTGGCCATTTCATCCAAGAAAGTTCACACCTCACCATGCCCCCAAAAATTGTGGCACAATAGGCCGAGGGCCTGGCCGAGGGTGTGTGTTGAAACTTGTTTCGCAGTACAATATTTGTGAGGCAAATCAATCAGACAGTTGTTGCTGACTGTTGCATCGCTCGACCCTGTTTCGTGACATCAACGCATGCAAAAAATAACAAACACCTATCACTTGGCCTTTTTCACGAGTCTTTCCCAAACGAACTGAAACCGAACAGCTTCAGCGGCCCAAGGCCGCCGTTAGCTCACGGGCCGTCAGGTCGGGACGGGGTGTCTGTGCCGGTTCTCGCCCATTTGGCTCGAAGGGATGCATGGAAACCAGGTTTCTGCGCTTGGCGCAGGAACTGGGAGCCATGGTGCCTGGCAGATGCTTGTTTCTGCTTGTGTTCCTCTGCAACTTGGTGCGTGCACTTGGCAACTGCTTGAATGCCAGCGATGTGGTGCCAGTGGCTGATCGCATCAACATTGTTGTTAATGGGGAAAGCTTGCCCATTGGGTTTTCGAGCCCAGATTGGGATTCGGCCAAAATCTATAGCCGCATTGCGGAAATCATCACACAGGAGATCTTGGGGTTTAATACTCAGATGGGCCCGCACGGAGATGAATCTCAATCAGCCTACAAACTTGTTGCAGAAGGCAACAGCATACACTTCTTGAGCGAGATTTGGTCCTCTTTCACTGCTGAGATCATAGCATTTGAGGCGGCAAATCCAAGTTTGGCTTTGCCCTTGCTGAAGACGTTGGACTACAAGGGACGGGATGGAATGCATATTTTTCCCAAGTCCTCTGAGCCCTATTACGACTCCAATGGCAGGTCGTTGGAGTTCTACCAGTACTTCAACGCTTCGGTCTTGACTCTCACGACGGAGTTCTCCCCAATCTCTGCCTTTGACATCAACAGCCTTTCAGCTTGTGATGGGTCCGAGTCAGGTCCCACGGAGCAAAGCTACTACTTGTCAGCCACAGGCGATGCAGGTGCTTTCACCGTGCTGAACGGAGTGCGGACATGGAATTGCCATCAGGGAAAATGGTGGCTGTCCCCTGCGTGTCGAAACGATCCAAGCACCTGTGTGCCGCTGCTGACTCACCTCTTTTGGGGTTGGAGTGAAATGAGACAAAAGGCCGCTTACTTCAACATGCCCATTGCCATGGGCAGCACACCCTCCGCCGAGCTCTATGTCGAATGGCCGAAGAATCATAAGATGTTGGTCTCTCAGCCGAACAAACACGTTTCCACACGGTTACGAGACCAGTCGATGGGACAACGTGGATGGCATCGCGGATGGACGATGACCATTTCCCAACCAGAAACACTTCTGGTCGTTCCAACATGGCGCCAGCTTGAAATCCTTGACGGAAATGGCTGGGACTGGGTTTCGTTCCATCCACTCTTTCTGGCTGGGACTGGTTTTGTTCCAGGTTGTTACTGCAATCCGAAGACCCGTCACAGGTTGCTTTCCCTTTGACTCGTGTTTTCCCCGAGTCGACCGATCTCGGTCCCCCGTCGGCGACATCCCGGTTGGGGCGGAGGGGGTGCGTTCAACACAACCGGATCTGCGTTCGAAGCTTCTTTGTGACGTTCGTAGCAATGGCCCCCGTTCGTAGCCTTCGTAGCGGAGTGGTGGTCTGTTCCGGCCCCGGCCATTCCGGCGTCGTGTGACCGTCGCGCTGACCGAGGCCTACTGGTGGACCCCGGACGATAAGTTCAAAGCGGAGGGCGCTTTGCAGATGTTCTTTCCAGATCACAATCCGGGCGAATGGGACGTTGGTGTGAAAACCAGCATGCCAGCAGAAGAGCCCTTGTGGGCCTACTACAAGCCAGGAGTGGATTCTGCTGCGCCCAAAGTCTTCTTGGTCCTTTCCAACATGTGACTTGTCTGTTCAGCAGGAACATAACTGTCTGAGGAAAAGGAGATGTATGGACAGAGAGATCGATCCCTGCGTTTTTCAGGAGCCCTCGGGTTGATGGCACAGTCCAATCGCCCTTGCCTGTTGTGATTGTGTCCGTTCGTTTCACTTTGGTGTTTTCTTCCTTTATTTTCGTCTTGGTGCACTGCTCAGGGCTCTGTATGATGATGACATGACTCACCTTCTGAACGAAGTGGTGCGCTTGCGGACTCAAGGTGCCTTGGCTGTTTCTCTGGTGCTCAGGGCCCTTTGGGCCTTTCTCTTCCGTCCTTTGTTTTGGTGAATTGGAGTGATGCGGTTCCCGGATACCAGGAGTAGTGTCGAACATTGTTGACACGGTCGCATGCAACTGGCTCAACAACAACGTGGCGCGTTGGCGAGCTTGGATTCCCATTGCAACAGAGTGTACACGAAGCCTTGGCTTTGGTATGACTGCCGAGAATGGGACCTTCGTTTTAGATGCTGGGAAAAAAAGAGAGATGACATGTAACTTTCTGGACCTTCACCAACACAGGGGACTGTTGCTCCGTCCCCACACCGACTGAGCGCAAGCAACTCAGGACCGAGCGCATGCGACGGGCTGCACACTCTGCAGTCCGGGCAAATACGCTTCGTCCTATGCAGATGATGTGGGGCAGTCGGCGGTCTGCCTGGCTTGCGCCGAGCTCAGACCACGAAGCGGATTTGGATGAACGAGACGCAAAGAGACTCCGAAGCGCAGCCCGGCGCCCCGGCCCTGCCCCGACCCTGCAGGCCCCTCTGGATCAGCTCAAGATCGCGGTGGTCAAACAGAGTGTGCGGAGTGTGCTGCGGGCACTTATCGAGTAGATTCAGGCGTCTCGGCCTGTTTCACAGCACGGAAAACAGCTGGATGAAGGAAAGCCGTTGTTGCGTTGACTCAAAGAAGGAGAACAATGAAAGACGATGCAACTGTGGAGAATTGTTCTTGTTTTGAGGCTTTGACTCTTTTTTTTCGAAAAAAGGCTTTAGAGCCCCACTTCAGGTGTTCGTTGCAGTCCTTGTGGGAAGGGTACTTACCAACCAGCGGTGGCACAAGACAGCTGCCTGACATGTATGAGTCCCATGACGACCGTCACGGTGGGAAGTGACACCCAGGAGCGGAGGGAGCGGAGCTGATTCGAACACGAGAGTAACCGCTCTCACTCTCCGTCTTTTGGTTCGCTGAAAAAGCGGAGCTGATTGAGAGCTGTCATGGCTGTCATTGCTGTCATTTGCTCATGCGGACGGTAGGAACCGTGTTTTTTCAGTTTGTTTGTTTTCATTTGGTGAGAAAGTGACCTGACCTGACACGTCTCTCTCCAAAACCGCCGGTTCGCTGGTGGTTGGTTCGCCTCCCTGCAGAGGAGCTTTGCATTTGCCCGGCCGGCACCTTCCAGCCTTGCCTGGGTGGTGGAACACGATCGGAGTGCGCCTGTCCGGCCTCCTTTTACACAAGTTCGAGTTCTCGTTGTGTGGAGTGTCCGGAGGGCATGTATTGCAACGAAGGCTCTGACGAACAGTTCTTCCCGTGCTCGGTGGGTGAGATGCAGAATTCCACGTCGAACCCCTACCCGAAGCCGAGTGAAGGGTATTTTGTTCTCTTGGAGAAACCCACCGATGTCTACAAGTGCATTGATGAGCCCTCCTGCCCTGGGGACTTTGCTGACCATTGTGGTGATGGCTTGATGGGAGTCGCCTGCGGGGCGTGTGCGGCCGGCTTCTACAAACAAGCAGGCGGTCCGCTGCTGTTCTTCATATGCCGGCGGGTTGTTTTGTTCCAGTTCCACCAGAATTTGCAGTCAACGCTGTTTGCTTTTGCAGGTGATTATTCTGTTGCAGCTTTTCTTTTTTCGAAAAGCTTGTGATTGCATCTTGCATCCGTGAGGCTCATGCAATGAATGTGGCGATTTGGAGCAGAACCCGCTCTTTTTGATCTTGCCTTTGCTGGTTTCTCCCGTTTTCGTCTTTGCCTTCTACAAGGCGCTGGTTAAACTCCATCCGAGACCAGCGAAGAGATAGACGCGTTTTGCCTTTTCGTCTCCAAGAGGCGAGTTGACGAGCTTCCAAGCCGGGCCGCCGAAACGAACGAGGAGCTTCCGGGGATTCCCCCGGCCGAAGCACCAGTTGTCCGCCGAAACAAAGTTTGGGATGTTTGGGATGTTTGAAACGACTCGACCTTCTTTGGTTCCCCTTCTTTCTCGATAGGTCTTGGTCGACCGGCTCAACGTCCCCCTTCGTGACCGGCTGCCTCGACAGGTCTCCCTTGTGGACGTGCACCTGTGGGGAAGGACTGGTCAAGGCGGGTGATTTGTTGGTCGAGGGCACTTTCCACAGGTGACCGGAAAACAAGCGTATCAAACAAAGGCCAACGGATAAAGCATGCAATCGCCCAAAGAAACACAGCGCAATTTCACACAAGTTCATCTACATCGATGCCGGGTGAACCTCCCTTCGCCGGTGTCTCCTCCATGGCCGTCTTTGAACGACGGCGGGCCGACACGACGCCCCGGCGACACGGGCGTCCCGGAGGGGAAGTTTCTTTGTGGCCGGGGTCGGTGGAGGTTTTTCGGTGACACACGGCCACTGCGACACAGAGAAAGCGGCGGTTTCGGCGGAGAAACGGAACCGAGCAGCCTGGCCCTGGAATAAGCGCCTTTTACAAGAAACCAGCGAAGTGATGGAGCAAACGGCAACTGCGCTCCACAGAACGGTTCGTTTGCCCAACTCTTAGACCTTTTCAGGTTAACTTTGTTCGAGGTGAGCTGAAGCGATGGAGAATTTGCTGGCGAAAGTTATCCAAAAGCCGGTTTTCGAGAGATTTGGTCGTCAGGAAACAGATTCTGAAGGTTTATTCCGGTGTTTAAAGTTTCAAGGAGTAGTTAAGTCAAAGACCACAGCCTTAAACACAACCGTGTGAACCACGGGTGTGCTTAGCAAGAGGTGTGCTTCAGCCGTAGGAGACTTCAGGGCTTGCGTGCTTCAGTGTAGGGGTAGTTTGCTCAACAGTCGCCACCAGCCCCAGGCTTTGGTGGCATTGGTTACTTGATGCTCGTCTACGTCCAGACGGTCTCAGTGATCATCTCGATCTTCCCAACTTTACCTGCCACGTTGGCGGGTGGCGCCTCGACGTGTCAGCCGCGACGTATGCGTCGGGAGGTGCCGGGTGGGGAGTCGGGCGATTGGTGATGGACAGCTGTGGAGAGAAGTCGTGGTGTACAGAGAAGGAAGTCGTGGTCTTTTGGGAGGGAAAAGCAATGAAAAGCATCAAGCAATGCCTGTCCTTTTGGCTTTGTGTTTGGAGAAGACCTGAATCTATCCCAGCCCGGTAGACTGGGCTACCCTCGAAGGGGTCGAACGACATTCGCCCTGTTTTAGGACATGCCAGTGGCCCTTGAATCCAAAAGCAAAGGTCTTCACATACCCAAAAAAAACCATGTGTGAAGAGCTCCCAAAAGAGCTCAAAGACCATGACATCACGTCGTATATGTTGGTGGGGCCACAACGAGTCTGTTGGTTTGTTCCCATGTCTTCGTGCGGGCTCTACTTTCGCGTCGACGAAAGCGGTGGACCCGAGGCGTCGGGTGGACTGCCACGTCGGCAGAGATCACCAGCCTCTTCCGCTTGGAGTGTGCAGGCCATTTTGAAGCAGCGAAATGGCGTTGGAAATGGATTTAAAGAAGCTGGTCACCCAGCTTCTTTTTTTTTCAAAGGCGTTTTCTTGAAAGAAAGCTTGCACCTCGAAGCATTTTCTCATTCTTTTCTTGGAACTTCTACCGGTCTTTGATTGGAACTTCCAACATCGATGGAACCCGTCGAACCCCTCCGAGAGACAGTCTCAGAACGACAGGTCCCTCGGATTTTGTGGGAAGCTTCATCCTAAACTTGGTTTTGCCAGAGATCGCGGGTGCCATTTTCTTCGTGACCTGGTTGGGAGCAATGTCCCGGCCTTAGAAACCAGATGAAACCTGCAAACGCCTTAGGTGATGGAAGGTTTTTGTGAGGTTTTAGTGACGTTTTTGTGTGCTTCTCCCGACTAGACTGGTGACAGTCACTGGTGGACACTCCAGACGGTGTGACATTGTGTTGAAACACTCAGGCTCATCGGCAAGCAGGGTCCTCAGAGCGGGTCCGTCTCCGTTCGAGTGGAATAGACCCGTCGACTTCCATCGCGGATTGGCCCTGAGTTCCAATCGTTTTTGGTCGCAACCCCCACCGTTTCCGTGTGTCCTTTCGTCGCAACCGCTGACTGAGTGTCGCTACGTTTTAGGTTCGTGCCCAAGCTGCGCATGGACGGCGACGTGGTGCTGGGCTGCTTCGGCGCGATCCTGAAGACCTTCTTCGTGACCGTGGCCTCGAAGTGCTTCTCGCTCTTCCAGCTCTATCGCCATCCCAACGGCAGCTTCTCCATGCGCGCCTCCCCGGAGGTCCTGCAGGGCTCCGAGGAGTGGTCCAGCGCCTCGGACCGACAGTCAACCCAGCATTCCCTTGCGTTTGATCTATAATAGGATTCATTAGATTGTCCAAAGTTGCTGTATCTAATTTTATATTGCTATTATACATATATATATATATTTTTATACACAACTGCAATATAACATCATATGATGTTTGAACAGATAGTTCTTTTTTTGCTTCTTCAGCAGCTTTTTTAGTGGAAGCCATGGCCATTGCATTATTTTCTAGATTTTTTTTGGTTAATCCATATTCTTTGCATATAATAGTAGCAAGATAGTCAAATATCTTTTCATCAATTAATGCTCCACCAAGTAATGTATCTCCATTTGTAGATTTTGCTTCTATAAGCGAATGTTGTTCGCCATCATCATTATCGTTGGATAATTCCAACATGCTAATATCAAATGTGCCTCCTCCAAAATCATATACAGCAATTATTCCACTTTGCTGCATCTTGTTTTGTTTCGCATATGCAAGAGCAGCAGCAGTTGGTTCATTGATTATACGAACAACATTTAAACCAGCTATTTGTCCTGCATCCTTTGTTGCCCGCCTTTGTGAATCATTGAAATAAGCGGGTACAGTAATCACAGCATCTAGCATTGTTTTTTTCTCAAGATCAAGTTTTGTACAAGCAAATTCCTTACATCTACCTAATACAACTGCAGCAATTTCAGTAGGTGTTTTTTTAGTCCCATTTTGAAATTGTATAGCTAAGCCATTTTTATCTGAAACAACACTATAGTTAAGCTTAATTTTGCCTAGTTTCCTTGCTCTTCATGTTCGGAATAGGACAAGCCAATCAATCTTTTTGATTCGTATACAGTTCTTGAATTAGCAACTATCTGCCGCAATGCTGTTTCCCCAATAACAGATAATAACAGCAGACATATCGTCATTATAAGCTACCACTGATTAAGGTTGTTCGTCTTCCTACATCATTTTCTATAATTTCTGGTGTTCCGTCTCTAACTACCGCAACACATGTATTGGTAATACCCAGATCTATACCAATAGAAAACTTTTTTTTTTTAAAACCATAATTCACCCTTTTTAGATTAGTCTAGTATGACAAAAAAATATGTTTTTAATACGAAGAAAAGAACAAGAAGAAAATGACTGTTGACACGGCTTCAAAAAAATGTTAAGGATTATATATTCTTGATACAGTAATACTACCACCTCTATCCATTCTTGTTATAAAATATGGATGAAGTTCAGACTTTAGTTTTTTGTATACCTTCTGTACATGTGTTCTGATCTAGTTGACTTATAGGCAAAAATGCTCGAGCAGGATATGGCATTATTGAAACTATATACCCGCTCGCCACAGTACTTGATCCAAGAATTATTTCATCTACAGGCTTTCTATTGTTATAGGAGTCTTCTAATGCTTTCCATGATTGTATTTGTGCTCCTTTTACAAAGCTCACAATTGTATTATTCTCTCCACTTAGCCTTCCAGCAGATTGAAGCCATCTCAATTTTATCACCTACATCTGGCGGACGGGGTTGGACAGCGAGGGGATAGGGTTGGAGGACCGACTCAGAGTGGAGGGGTTGGAGGACGGGTCAGAATTACGGTTGGGTCACGCACAAGACTTCTGTTTTGGGGGAAAACATGGCGCATGAGTTCGCCTTGAGGAGCCAGCGGCCGCTTCGCCCATTCGTCGGGTTTGGTCCATTTCCTCCCTTCTTCCGTCTCGAGACGAACACGGCACACATTTCCCGAATTGTTACTACTAGTAACAAGTGCCACGCTAGTAGTAACAGGTGCCTTACTAGTAGTAACAAAAAGCTATTAGAATTAAATTAATAGCTTCTTGTTACTACTAGTAAGGCACTTGTTACTAGAAGCGATGCACTTGTTCCTAGTAGCTTCCTGTTTGTTCATATTTCCCTTTTTAATATTTTTCATCTTTTTTATCTCTTTGAAGAGCTCCGTACTTCTCTCCGCCGTGGTCCAGGTATGGTGATCTTCTCCGCCATGGCCATCTGCGTGAATTGCGTCTTCCTCTTGGTGGTGATCAGTTGGGCCATGTGGGTCGCACCGCGACGCTTCCACTTGAAGAGCTTCCGCATGCGCTGGAAGTTCATGATCCAAAAGATGCGTCCCTCCGTGTATTGGTGGATGATGACCATTTTCTTCAAGGCGAGACGGGAGGGAAGAGAGAGGCGACACCATGAAACATGAAAGGTCGTAGATTGTATTTTTGGGCGAAAAAGACAGACTTACAGACCGCTTTTGGAAGCAAAGGCGATATTCACTTGGATGAACACGCGACACCAGTTGTGCTTCGCAAGTGGTGTAAGTGGTGTAGCAGTGTTGAGAAGTACAAGTATCTAGGTGCAACCTGAAGCGTTTTGAGTGAAGCTTGCAGAACGCCGTAAAAGAACTGAAAAGAAGTGCAAGACTACGACGGAATGGTGGACTAATGGTGTTTCTTTATTGATGAATTCCATGCAAAAGCATCAGCAGAACGAACGTGAATAGAAGATCAGTTACTCCAGACGTGGAGACTTCTTTTGTTGGCTGTCCGTGTCTCACTGTATAAATCAGATTTGTGGGGCATGGCATGGCTCCAAAACCGAACACCTGCAGGGCCTATGGATTTCACTGACCGGAGTGCTCTTCACAAATGCCATGCGTCAATCACTCTGGATTTGTTTTGGTGTCCTGCTTGCATTTTGTGTCCTGCATCGCAAGGTAGCAAGAATGGCACATGCCATGACTATACTCGAAAGACCTCTACAAGCGTAAACCAAGCCCTTGCTCTTTGCTTAACCTTGGTCGACCAAGGTTTGCTCTTTTACACCACCATCAGCTATGTGTTTTTGCCTTGGCGCAGCGTCTTCGTGACGATCTTGGACATTGGCACGCACGTTTCCACATTGCTTCTTTGCCTTCTACTACCCTTCTTGATTGATTTCGACCAGGAGGAGCAGCAGACTGCAGTGTGTCTTCGAAGTAATAAGAACCGGGGGGCGTACGTCGCGATACCTATTTTTTCTTTGAAAGTTCTTGGGGTAGCCGTAATAAATGGTCACTTCTGGAGTTCATTTCATTCTGCCTTCATTCTGCTTTCATGTGGCTGAGTCTCTTTGTGGAGCTGAATATTTATACCTCCAAAAACCCTGATTTTGGGCACACATATATCAAATTTAAATATGTTTTGTTCTGGAAATGTAGAATTCTATAGTTAAGGATGACCTGCTAAATAGGAATTGTGCATTATGTTCGTTGATGATCGTTGCCCCCGCACGGCAAGATATTTTTAAGCTTCAGGGTACGGGTATGGGCCACAGTTTTCTCTTTCTTCACAGACTGGGATTTCGCAATTCTTCCAATCTGTTGCCGCTGGACTTGGGCCTGGGAGGGAAGGGATTCTTTTTGTGCCAAGAAGAGTAAACCCATTGGTACGGGGGTTCCCCATCCACATGGGGAAGCACCGACTTAGATGTGCACGTCCGTTGGGGTCTGGGGATGCTTTGGACAGATCCGGTCTGGGGAAGCGACCCACCTGGGCGGAAACGGCAGGCGGAGGGTCGGTTCGTGTGATCGTTGGTCAAACGAGCTGAGGGGGTGCCGGAAGGCGCTTGGGCGTCTTCTCGGCGTCTTCCGTGTCGGGACTCGCACAGCCGGAGACGACCCCGCTCCGGTGCCGGATCGGTGCCGCCGCGGCGGTGACGGCGGCCGCGCTCCTAAGGACGATCTTTGTGACGTTGTCCATCCTGGGCTTCTTGAGTCGCCTGGGCTTCGACCGGACGCGGGACGATTTGGTCGTTTCGACCCCGGAACGGTCGGTCGAAGGGTCTGAGACTCGTGGAACGGCCGGCCTCTCAGGCGTGGTGGGCTCGATGCTGTGGGCATTGGTCAAAGGCTTTTCGCCCTGGTGGAAGAGGCGAAGGCACGGAGCAGGTTTTTCAGGTATGAGTCTTCTCTTGCAGAGTTGTGTTGGACAGAGCGTCTTTTTCCGGAAGGCGTAGCAAAGGGTTCTCGTTGGTCTCTGGGGGTCTCGGGGTAGAGTTGTAGGCGCAGGGAATCGTGAGGTTGTGGTGTTTGGTGGAGGTGAATTTTGGAGAGACGCGTGACTCGAGGTTGACGCGTGACTCGTCTGTGGCGCGTGCGGTGAAGCTACGTTTGTGATGTTGTCCCAGAGTGTCCCACGACACTTCGCGCAAGAGTGTCCCGTTTTTTTGCGGAGTGTTCCAGAGTGTTTTTCAGGTGTTTCACAAGAGGGCCTTACAATGTTGGGCCGTTTGTTTTCTGTTTTCCATTCGGGCTCGTTTGTTTTCCATCATTTTCTGATGGACGCAGCTTCTTCCACGTGTTTCCACATGGAACACATCTGTTCTCGTTAAACGCGTTGCGTTGCGTGGCTCGTTTCGTTCGGCGCCGCAGGGAGAGGAACATTGAATACTATGCCCAGCGCATGGCGGATGTCTTCAGTTCAGCCACCGAACCTCGCCTTCTCGCTGAAATGATGACAGAGATTCCGGCCTTGGACATTCTGGAAATCAAGTATGTCCCTGGGATGTTTCAGCGGCAAAAACGCACGGGTTGCTGTTCCTTTTTGATTCTTTTTTAGAGCTGCAATGAGGCGTCCTCTTTTCTGTTCAGTCGAAACCGGAGAAACGGATGCCATCTTCGTCGTCGACTCCTTTTTTTTGCCCTCAACTGGCGCCCAGGTCGCGACCATGATGTCCTCTGAACTCTTGGGGAAGCATGTGATCGGTCGTTTGGATTGGGGGGAACCTGCTTTGGCAGATCCTGTGAAGGACCAGTTCACGGATGGAGTTGCTAGGTCTCAGGTGATCTGGACCTGAAGTGTCACTCGGGCAACCGAAGAAGTGTTGACCCGAACATCTCTGTGCCACCAAGTGGCGAAAGTCGGCGTTCAGACTGTTCTCAGTGGAAAGCAGATGATCAGAGGTGCCCTTCAAAAAAACCGAAGCGCATTGTGTGGGATATGAGCGATGTGGTTTACTGTTGGCGAGTTGTGGTTTCAGCTCTCAGGCCCTGTTGGACGATGGCGAAGCCATTGAAAACACTTAGACAGATGGAAAGCTGTCGCAAAATTGGATCAGGGTGAAATTCAATATACACAACCACAACCACAGCAGCTTTCCACCTTTAACTTGACTTGACTCAAAAGAATATGCGAAAAAAAAGGTGCCTGGCGCATGTGTGTTGACCATGCGTGTAAAGCCTTTTGTTGATCCCTTCACTTTCTGACGTCGCCAACGGAATACCTGGCGGCGTCACGTCTGGCGGCGCTGTTCGGATCGGCCTGATTGGGGCGGAGCAGCTGCAGGGCCGGGAGTGTTCACGGGAGAAATGCAGAGAAATGCCACGTTAGGGCGTACACAAGGCTTCAAGTGGCCGTATGACACTCCTTTGACTACCGAAACCGCCAGCAGTGGAAGGGAAACGGTCACCAGCTAAACTATAGCCATCACCAACTACCGCAGCAAAAGCAGAGCTCACCACAGCCTTGGAAATTCTGACAAGCAAAACACTGGCACGTGCGGCTCTCACACCAACCAAACTGACAAACAGACAGAGACCCACGAACTGCAGCTCTCATCCACAAGATCTCGCCGAAAGATTTCAGCTTTCCACGAACGGCTGGAGCACCCGGGGGCACCGCTGCGCTGGAACCCCTGGCGTCCGCCGCTGCGTGCTGGAACCGCGGTCAACCCCTGGTCGTGATGAGCAAGGTCACGTCGTTTGCTGTCGATGTTCATCCATGAAAAGGCCATTTGTCGCATGACATGCATTGGGTCGTTCACTCATGTTTTGGGCTCAAGACACAAGGCGCATGTGTTCCGGACGATGCCGACCATGGCAAACGGCAAAAGATACATGCACATTTCAGCTGACGGTTTTTCGATCGACCGTGCGCCCGGTTTTCCGATCGACCGTGCCGCTGGCACGGGAACCAGAACATCATTTCGGTGGCGAAGCAGGGCGTGTAGCCATGAGTGCCAAGTGGGGCTGTCCCATGCCTGCGGATGACAACTTGTGGCTTCGGCTTTTTGTTTGAGTCGTTTGCTTTGAAGGGAAGCCCTCGTTGAAACCGACCCGCGCTTTCGGCCGTTTTTGGCACGTTTTCAAAGCCTCTTGGCTCAGGAAATGGCAGTCCAGGCTGGATGCAAGTGTCCCTTTCAAACGAATTTGGATTTCGACCCCAATTTCGCGTCAGATGTGTCCGGTCTGCAGGGAGTGGTGCCCTCAAATCTCTGGAGCTTCCTCCATCGGGGTGAGCAGCATTTGCGTGAGCAGCACCGGTGGCACTGGATTGCACGGAGGCTCAGGAACGGTTGGACCGACTGGTTGAACGAAGGAACTCGACCGACTGGTCGAGGTCAAGAAGCCTCTATTTGCAGCGAAGCATGTTACTAGTAGTTTTTTGTTCCTATAGTATAGCAATGCCAGGAGCTATATTCGTAGCTTCTTGCTACTAGTAGTAATGGCCTCCAACCGACTAGCGATGGCCTCCAACCTAGTAGTTTCTTGCTCCTATAGTAGTAATGCCAGAAGCTACTAGTAGCTTCTTGCTACACCTTGCTACGTACTAGCGATGGCCTCCAACCTAATATCTTCTTGTTCCTATAGTATAGTAAGGCCAGGAGCTACTAGTGGCATCCTTGCTCAGTAGCGATGCCCTTTGTTACTAGTAGCTAGGTCAAGAAGCCTCTTTGCAGCGAATCTCTCCTCGCGAGCTTCTTCAGACTCGGTGCCTTGGCTTCCGACTTGGTTCCTTTTGAGACCTCTTCCCCGAAGAGACCTCTTCCCCGGGCGGTCGTCGTTTCATTTGTCCCCAACGTCGGTGGGTCCCGTGGTTTTCGGGTCAACTGCAGGGCTCCTGGCACAGCCGGTCCATCTCGATGGCTGACTTCCAACAGAGGCATTACTTAGAGGTCGGAGCTTCGAATTCTCTCGCGGCTTGTTTTTGCAAGAAGATCGAAGAGACGTGAGTTTCGAAAGAAGAGTCTGATGGGATCTGATGGGAATTAGGTGTGAGGCCATGTGATGTTTGGACTTGACAGGACCTGAAGTCTTTTGCTGCGAGCTTCACCCTACCCATCATGCTGGTCAAGGAATGTGTGGGTCAGGCGAGTCGTCTCCATCCAAACTGCGTCGATCCGATCCGCCGATCCGCCAGGTCGATGACGACTTGCTTCAAACGGTTCTTCGCCTCGACGCCCAGGTTGCGACCGAACGACCGAACGAGAGTGTTTCGATGGAGACCGACCGCAGGCACAAGGATTGGTCGCCTTTGCAGAGGGAATCGTCCAGAACTTCACCACCAGCTGCTTCAAAGTGCTAGCAGCTTTGACTGAGTTTTCAGCTGATTTGTGACCTGTTTCAGGGTGATTTCACTGATTCTGACATCTAATAGCTTCTTGTTGCTAGTAAGGCCCTTGCTAGTAGCGATGCACTTGTTCCTAATAGCTTATCGTTTTTTGTTGCGTTTGATGCGTTTTTCTCTCTGAGGACTCTGTTGCCAGTCTTTCCACGGCGTCGCTGCCCCCAGATCGTCGAGCGTCGGTCGATTCCGCGGTGGAATGGGTCGACAGATCTTCCCATATTTTTTAACTGGTTTTGTTAGATGGAAGAAAAGGGAAGATGTTAGAGGCTGTTAGGTGCCTATCAGATGGGTGATTTGAATGAAACGACAGACATGTTGGCTCAGTGAGAGAGATTTGGGACATGTCGTTTTCCTCCGAGAGTCCATCGTCGATCTCGTCGCTCGGACGGCTCGGACGTTGGTGCAAAAAGTCTTCACTAAAAGGGTTGGAGTCTTCCCAGCGTTTCTCATCGTCCGTGCTCGTCTGCTGCGACGAAAGTCCACGTCGTCGAACGACGAGTTCGTCGCACCGAGGAATGGCATCGATATGGACCTGCTCAAAGAGGCGGGTCACCGACAACCCCGTTCCGAACGGTGTTCAGGGTGAACCACCCGTGCGAACGCGTTTTTGGAAGGGTTGCGTGGAGCGCGGGGTGGAGTGGAGCGCGCCAGGTGAACCACCTCATTGCCGAGTTGTTCAACAAAACGCTGGGCGCCAGGACACGATACATCGAATTGCTAAGTCAGGCGGGGACCCCAACGCCTCGTCGTCAGGCGTCGGTCGGAGTTCCGAACTGGGCGGAGTCCGGTCGGTGCCAGGTGCGATACCTGGGCGAGTGTGCCTTGGCGACGAAACCGGTCCGGCGGGGTGGTTAGCTCGTGGCGTCGAAGGTTTGGACCCAAACAGCCCGGTGCCGAGGTACACAACTCACCTTAGACCAGATCATCATGGCTCAGCTTCCGGAAGCTGAAGGCTGGATCACGATCACGGGATCGAGCTCGTTCGGAAAACCTGTCATTGAGGCTGTAGATGTGTGGGAAAAACGTGTGAACATGTCATGAGTCATGGCTAAACATACAATGGTTCTTTACTCGAAGAAGATGATGTTCAAATGGAACTTTGTGCAGGCCCGACTTATAAGTACACCATGCAATTTGATAGAAACACAGGCGCTCGTGTGTAGTATCAGAGCAGGCACTGTTGTTCATAAAGAGGCTTTCTTCACACTTCGTGACCGCCTATGTCTGAACGACATGTTCTGCTCAAGTCATCCAGGCGAGATAGGTGAGAGCCCTATGCCAGATGATTTGAAGTCTGAGTTTCTTGGATTGTTTTAGATTTATATTTTGATGTTTCGAGTCTTTGAACCTCCGCGACCCCAAAGTTTGGACGAGGGTTTCCGACACGACGAGGCCTCGCGAAACACGTTGGCATCGCCCGAGGCATTGCCTAGACGTTGCGCTGCGACAACTTCAAAAGGTGTGCTGCATGATGGAGGAGACGAATGTCCGCGTCCCGGCCGGCCATGAATTCCTTTTCGTGCACACGGGGCCTCGGGTGTGTGTGAATCTCAAGTGTGTGTGTGTGTGTGCCCCTTGGAATCACAGGGACCCTGTAGGATTGTTTTGATTTTTGATGATTTTTCAGCAGGGGTTCCGCGAACCGACCCAAGCAACGTTAGGCAATCCCACAATGCAATTGATTGCCCAACGAAGAGGGCTGCAATGTGGCTGATATCCGGAAGGGACGCCTTCTGGACGTACCTGCTTAGTCTAAGAGTTGTGGTGTTCACAAGCTTTTGCTCCAATTTTCCTGTAAAGTGCTAGTGCTTGGACCTCTTTTGGCCCTACTTCCTCTTGAAGACCTCCAGGTTCCGTAGGTTTGTTTGTCCTTTTCCGGACTTGGGAACCCAGGTTGGCGTGTGGCAACCCCTTTCAAGTCAGTACGCATTTCTATAAGTGTGTGCAGTCACTAGGTTAGCCATGGTCAGCCCATGATCAGGTTTTTCTAAACCCAGACCCTTCATGGGACTGGCATATATGCCTTACATTGAACCCACCAACCACCATGCCATGTATGCAAGGTAGTCCCAAAACAGGTGGTGTGTGGGACTCCAACCCACCAGAGCGCGGCGCTCCAGCAGGACTGCCCCCATTTTTGGCTCACCCTTCATGGCGCCGAACTGCAGCTCCGCAAGATTCACAAGGAAGCCGCTCGGGCCGTTCACCGAAGCGAGCGAGCGAGAAAAACGGTAATGACGGTGAGTTTTGCAATTACGTCAATGGATTTTTGGGACATTGGCCTCCACACCGACCTCCTCTCATCTTCCGCACCAACTTCCCCATAGCGACTCCATCTCCGAGAGCTCTCCGTCCTCTCCCACCTTCCAAGTCCGGTGGTTTTTGATGGTTTTTGGACACCCCGAATCACCTCTAAGAGGTTTTTTTTAGGTTTCTTTTATATGGAATTTGCTCGTTTTGGCAACCTGATGGACACCTCGAACGGAAGGTTCTCCGTCCAGGCCCGCCGTTCGTTGTAGCCAACCAAGGCCCAGCTCCTGTGTAGCCAACCGCCTCGAATGGACAACTTAGGTGCCGTCCTGACGGGTCCGGTTCACGTCGCGTGTGACACACTTATGCGCAACCGTTGACAGTAGACGAGTTTCTTTTCTTTGGCGTCCTCACGGGGAGGCGCTTTTATGTTGTGGGGAATGTTTATTTTGTGTTCGGGAGTGTTGCGATGGGTTCTTCAGTAGAAATCTTTTGCGTAACGCATTTGCATCAATACATCCATATATAGCTGCACTATGCTGCACTTGTATGTATCGGATATACGTACGCCTGCAGCTTGTGTGTGTGGTCTTCTAGACCTGCTGCTACAGAAGTGGTAATTATATAATATATTTGTAACTTATATAGCTGCAGCTGTATGTATGCTACAATAGGTATGCTACAAGTACATCTACAGCTTGCATGTATGTTGTGTAGAGCTGCTGCTACGCTAGCGTTGATTTGGTGCTGGGATCTTGCTTTGGTGAATTGCTTTGGTGCTGGGATCTAGCTTGGGTGAATTGCTTTGGTGCTCTCTATCTATTCTTTCTTGGGCGGGGCCCTGGCTGGACAGGGCTCGCGAAAACGGGATTTTGTGCGAAGATCGTGTGCGTCGAGCGCTCAAGCGTGAGGCAAAAGGCAAACTCTGGCTGGAGACGAGCGCTCAAAGGTGAGGCGAAATGCGAATTATATTTCGTGGCCGAAGTGTGTAACTGTCGTCGGAAGTGACGCCTGGAAGGTGCCAAAGTGTGTAAATGTCCTTGAAAACGAAGGTGGAGGTCGCCAAAGTGTGTAATTGTTGTTGAAAGCGCAGGTGGAGGCTGCCGAAGTGTGTAGCCGTCGCTGAAAAAGGTGGAGGTCGCCAACGTGTGTAACTGTCGTCGAAAATGCCGGCGGAGGTTGCCAAAGTGTGCAGTGTGCAGTTTAACTGTCGCCGGAAACCAAGATGGAGGCAAGTGTAACTGTCGCCCAAAACAAAGGGGGAGGTTGCCACAGTGTGTAAGTGTCGTCAGAAAGGAAGGTGGAGGTTGCCAAAGTGTAGTCGCCGAAAACGGAGGTGGAGGTTGCAAAAATAACTGTCGTAGGAGTGGCCACTTGGTACGATTGCGCAGGAACCAGCTTCTGGGAGCTGTGGCTGAATGTTACATTGTTGTATCTAGCCTGTTGCACACCGTGTGGCCTTCTGACGTCTGTGATGTCGCTGTGCCATGCAGGTTGGCGCGGCCTCGGTGGAATGTGCATTTCCCTGAGTCTTTAACTGCTTTTGCGGATGTTGTGTTTTACGGATGTTTGTTGCATTTGTACGTAGGTGTGGTTTTTCAGAGCTGCTCCTACGGAGGTGGTAATATGACACTTGCTAGACTTGCTTTGCTGTTGCGATCTTGCTTCGGTGCATTGCTCTAGTACTGGGATCTCGCTTCGGCTACTCTTGCTGCTACCTTGCTTCAGTAAATAACATGTCACATGTCTGCAAACTCGAATTTAACGGTCGTTCCCTGTTCTACATACTCTTTCCTTCCAGGTTCCCGGGCCATTCGTCTAGTTTTTTCACTTTTAACTGAACATCGTTTCGTTTCCTTTTCACCTTAAGTTTCAGATAGAAACTATCGAGCCAACGACGTGTCAGACCTCTTTCGCCGGAGGCGGGGCACGCCTCAACGCCTTCTGCGAGAAGATCCAAATCCTCTGCGAGGACGGGACGACTGGGACTTTCAGAAATGGCCCGACTGGTCGACCGAGTCCTCCAGTCACTGGTTCTCTTTCAGGAGCACTGTGGCATGGATGAGGCCGAGCATCGATGCGTCAATGCAAAACGAAATGGAGTGGCATGAGACCCACGGGTTGCGTGGCCCAGTCTGGTCAGAATGCTGCAGGCAAACTTGTCATCTGTGGAGGGCTCTTTGGTCAACGAGGCGCAACACAAGTGTTGTAATGGTCCCCAAATAGACAGACAAGTCAATTCCCATTAAAACATGTATTGCAGAAACCCTAGTGTAATATATCTATTTGGGGATCACTATATAGACACGTTTGGGAGGCAATGGTGCCGTTGTCCGTTGCGGGTTTTTGGCCGTGGCGGGCTTGCTGTGTTGCCGGCTTGGTCGCAGGCTGCAAGCCACGAGGCGGAGAGTTTTGCCAAAGCTTGCCGAGCAGAAGCCAAGTGGAAAGCAGAGGGGTGAACTCTGCGAATCTCAGGGAGTGGTGAACTGGGATCCTGTTCCGATGCGTGACTCGAAGTGAAGTCGGGCGGCAAGCCGCCAGGTAGGCCTACCTGGGCCTACCTTTTGAGGTATTTAAAAGGACCCACTAAATCTCACCTTGCACCTTGGGACCAGACTTGGGGCGCCAGGCAGGGACGGAGTTGGGCTCGTGTGGGGCCTCAGACAACCCTGCCACATGACGGTGGGAGTCGTCGCGGTGGGAGGGGTAGGGGAGTTGAGAGAGATTTCTGAAAGATATCTGGTTAATCTGGTTAAAGAATGACCCAAAAAAGAGACAAAGAGGAAACGCATCAGAATTGAGTTCGAGAACAGGCACATCAGACGTCAGACCGGACTTCAAGTGTGGACGGATGTTTGAAGCCGAGGTACTGACATAGGGATCTCGACTTCGATAGCCTCAATGGTGCATGACGCACCGATGCACAGGTTTGTAACGTCGGACGTTACGACAGGAATTTATCACGCGTCGATTCCCACAGAACGAGAGGAATCTGACTGGACTGCATTTGCGTCGTAGAGGCTGTCCTGAAAGGACAGTGGCAACCTGAAAGCTGGGCGTCTCATGAAAGCTGGGCGCCAGTGGTTGAACACCATTCCAAATGGGTGAGAACCTTCTCATTCCAATGACTATAGACAAGACCCCAGGATACCCCAGGTGTGTTTTTGACTCGACCGCGTTTAACATTTGTCATTCTTGGTTGTTCCCTTGCCCAGTGACAGTCTCGACAGTCACCCACAGCTTTCTTGTTTTGCTTCAGGAAGCTCAACTGGGACTGGGCTCGGGTCGAGCAACTCCGATTGGTCCACCATGGACCATTCCTGGCCGGGACGAGCAACTTTTTGGACGTTCCCTTCGTCCCAATCGAGCGGCTATCGGCTATCGCCTCTTGCCTCAAAGGCCTTGACTGCAAGGCTCTGCGTGGAACAGGCTATTGCCTCAATTTGATAGAAACCCACCAAGGAGAGTCCAATAGGTCCTTCTCCCTCAGACAAGCAGAGAAAAAGTGTGCAGAGTGCGGTCTCGTGACTTAAGGTTGAGACCGGCACGCGGCGGTTGAGACCGCGTCTTGAAGGTTGATCCTTTGTGTGTCTATGTGTCTTCGTGTGTGCGTGCGCGTGCGCATGTTCTTTGCAAAGGATATCATGCGGTTGTTCACGGACAGTCCTGGCAGCGATGTTCTCTTCGCTGCGCGGAACCGTACAGGGTCGCGACCGTCCAGTTCATCAAGTGCCGCGACCGACACCAGACCTATCGCCAGTAGGTTGGAGGCCATCGCTATTAGGTTCGAGGCCATTGTTAGTAAGTTGGGAGGCCATCGCTATTAGGTTCGAGGCCATTGTTAGTAAGTTGGGAGGCCATCGCTATTAGGTTCGAGGCCATTGTTAGTAAGTTGGGAGGCCATTCCTATCGTCTTTGTTCGTGGCCGACCACACCGGAACCCGAGTTTCGGAACCTGAGTTCGTCGCTTGGACCTTGAGCTCAACGAAAAGAAGCTAAGGAGGGCCCTCTTTCTCTGAGGGAAGATGAAAAGAAGCTCTCTTCCCAAACGGTTTTGTGGGAAATCTCTCCCTCCCCTTTCTCCCTTTCTCTCGCTCTTTCTCCCTTTCAACTCAAGTGTAGGTTCAACTTGCTTTGAGGATCTTTTAAACGTTTTTGAGGTGAACTGCTTAAGCTCAAGCTCATCGCCGCTCCATCGGCTCAGGGAACCGCGCGTTTGCCCATCGCGCCTGGTAGCGAACCAAAAGGAAAGAGAGGTTGAGACAGTTTGAGATAAGCCGATGATGCGATTCTTCTTGAACACCATTTCCTCATTTCAAGCCATTTCAAGCTTGACAGATCGACGTTTTGGGTCTTCCCCACAAGTCAACCCAGTGTCAGCTTTTTTGATTTACTTGGTTGAAGATTGCCGTATTCATACGCAGCGCGTGCGCGGCCGTGCCGCAGCACGATGGCCTTTGTTCGAGATCACGGCTCCTTGGAAAGCCATTTGTGAAATGAAAAAGAGATGAAGCTGGTGCAGCAAACCTAAGGCACATGCTGCATCTTCTTGCCCTTGAAGCTAGGGGTCTCCCTGGTGGCGATGTTGTGCCATGGCAGGATCAGTTCCAGTACCCGTTCAGTGGGTCGTACGACCATTATGTGATGGAAAGAAGCTGGAATTTCGATGAAAGACGGTGCTGTCCTCATCTTCTGTGTGTCCAGTCACATTCCAGCCGCCATGACCTATAGCTGGGGACCTCCGCTCACTAACCGAGAACCGAGCAGTCCGCTCGCCGCTCGCCGCGTCGAGGGTCTTCGTGGACGCCATCGTGTGCATGTTAGCCACCTTCACCGGAGACATTCGCTTCCAGCCCAATGGCGCCTTCTCTTAAGGACCGAGGAAGGGTGGGTTGTCCCAAGCGTTAAGAGTGGTCGTGGGTCACCACTGACGTGAAACCTCACTCTCTGTGTCACCAACTCTGGAATTGCCTGCAGTTGGGCGCTTGAAAGGGTGGGAACACCATTTTTCACCTCAAACGGGGACATTGTTGGACACCTCGAACCGTGAAGTCAAGGTTACAGTGAGAGCTTCTATCACCTTCCGTCACTCTTGGGTTTGCTTGGCATCGTCCTCGGCCCTCCTGCCGCGCTTGGCGTCCGCGTCCTGGGCGGCTGCGTCCGTCATAGACGTTCGCGCCAGGTTTCGTGGGCCTCCTGGGCATCTACGACGACAAGCCGCCCTGGACTCAGAACGAAGCAGCCCGCCGGGTGTCCGCCGGCCAGTTCAGAAAAATACACATGAAGGGCTGGATGAGAACAGTGAAGGGGAACTAAAGGACCAGTGTTTTCGAGGGATTCATTCATTCTTCCTTGAGGAACTGGCTCCAGTGGCTGGTCTTTTACTTACTGGTGAAACTGGTGGCCCTGGCAGCCAGTGGCCTTGCGGACTTCTGGACGCTGCGCAAATGCCGCCCGTCGGACAGCCCCTACCGCCCGCAAAGCGCGCCACTGAGAAACGTCACCGTTGGAGCGGCCGAGGTGACAGTTGGCTCACGTCTCCCGAGCGGAACACGTCTCCGAACGAGCAGCTCACGGAGCTGGCCGAGGCGGCGGGCGCCGGCGCGGCTGTCGCGACAGCGCGGACCTGGACCTCCACGCTCCCGGACGCGACCGGCTTCGTCATCCCCAACCATTTCGTCCGTGCATTTCGGTCATGTTTTTCAATGTTGTTCTTTTCCGGTTTGACTTCAACACCACGAAGCTGTGGAGGAACTGCTGAGTTCCAAAGACGCACTCCTCACCAAAAACCCGCGCCATGAGGTGTTGGATAGACATGTGGACATGTGGATCAAATGTCTGGTGTTTGTAAGAATAGTCGGATTTTTCCACTAGGCCCTAGGCCTAGGAGCTAAGTGGTTTGACAGCATGAGAAAGAACTGATAAACGTAATTCTTACATTGCGACAGATCAGCAGAGGAGGAGTTGTCAGAAGTCAAATGAGAAGGCTAGAAGAACGTAAAGATCCAGATCAAAGTCTTACTGAAACATCCAACCTGAAATTGGATCGAAACTGTCAGGCAGGCGTTTGTCCTTGGGCGCGGCTTGCCTATGCTGTTGGCAGCTGCATGGTTGTTGCGCCTCTTGGATTCCGCTTGAAAGCCTGATATCTTCTGATCCTCCTGCAGCGAAAAGGTCAGCCTTGTTGGACAGCCTTGGTTAGCATCATTAATTCACTTTCTAATCAAGCAGGTTCGATGTTTTTCACGGATTCGATGCGATTTTGGCAAGTTCAGGTTCTGGACATACTGCGGCTCAGCTGGAATGGCGCAAAAGCTCTGGTGATTCACTGGGGCTACAGGGCGTGCGAAGCCGGAAAGCACCGGGCCTTGGAAGCGGCTCTGGTGGATTCCGAGCCTTTTTCAAGGCCTCATAAGGGCTGTTCTCCAGGTGCGGGTTCTGAAGTTGTGCCAAGCTATCCATCGTTTGGTGTGTTCTCTCTGACTGGAGAGTGTGCGTGGGTCTGGGTGACAGCCCACAAACAGCCAAAAGACTTAACAGACAGTTCGACGATTATATAGACCCCAAGTGGATCCCAGTTGCCATCTTTTCAGGAGCCGCTTTAAACAGGTCTATCGCTTGACTCGGAACTGGTGAAGTGGTCCTCAACAGGGTCCACGGCTGATTTCCGGAAGCTCATCAAGACTCTGCTTCCCGACACCGACACAAGGTGTGAGTCTATAGCGTTTTACGAGGTGATTCGGGGGGTCCCAAAAGCCGCGGTTTCGGTTTTCGGTTCAGTCTAAGGTACCTATTTCACCTATACCTACTGGCAGCAGCTTCTCGGCGGCACTCGCGAAACTCGCCTCTTGGTGGTTTCGTGGCGGGTTTACCGCGGTGTTTCGCCGGCAGGTTGGAATGCAACCCTGCTTACCCCATCGACTTTGGGGCTGAACGCCATGGTGCTCAGGGCCGCTGGGACCACTTTCAAGTGAAGGCCCGAAGAGGTTCAACTGGAAAAGATTTTTTCTGTGCTCAAGCTTGCAAGGAATTGATGCACTCTTCAATATGGATGATTACGAGATGCATAGCTAGAGTTGTGAGTAAGTGAAGCACATTCTTTCAGCAGGATCCTCGACTTCCTGAACACGAAGAGGGTTTGCCGCTGCTGCCGCAGCATTTGATGCACGAGGACCATGGACCGTCAGATACTTCTCATTTGCCCAAATTAGCAATGCTCGTTTGACTCAAGACATGCCTCAAAACACGAAGGAACCCCATGCGGTTTCGTGCCTCGACTCGGTGTGGTTTTCGTTCTGGGAGGAATCTGAAGTTGATGGCTATGGCACTCAAACTCAGAAGGTGCGGACTCAGCCTAGTCGCCTGGACCTCAGGCATTGTCCTGGGTCTCGGCACGTGGAGGTCGAAGCTGGAGATGTCGAAAGAAACGAGATGTTTCTCAAACGAACCGTTGGGACCCTTTGGGAAAAGCTTGCATGCGATGTTGATGTTCAGTTCGGAGGATTTTGTTGTGAAGAAGAAAGAAGAAGAAGAAGGAGAAGAAGAAGAAGAAGAAGAAAGAAGAAGGAAGAAGAAGGAGAAGGACATGTCGTTTTTTTCTTCTGCAGATCCATGTTAATGTTCCTTTCCCGCTCAGATTATGGCCCGGATGGGCAAGAAATGGACTCGGAAGCGTAGACACCGCCTGTTCCGCTGCCGGTGGCGTCCAAAAAGGGGGCGCGGGCGCATGGCAGAGTTCGTGGCTCCGAGAGCGAAAAGAGCACCCGACGGCACTGTGGGTGCTTTGGAGGTGTGCTTTTTCCTCTTTCGGGTGGGGGAAATGGTTTAGGAATCGGAGGCCCCAGACCGACGGAAACAGGTAGACCGGACCCAGGACGGTCATTTCTACATGGCATCAACCGGTACTTCAAGGCCATGAGGCTCCGGTCGTCCCTCGATGCTGCGGTCCCCCCTTTTTGGGCTCCGCCGCTCCAGCACTCTCCGCGCGGGCGGACGCCGCGTGCGTCCGCGTTCCGCCGCGCTCCGCATGGATGCTCGGGAGCCCGGGCGAACCGGAGTTGGTCGGTGTGGACCGTGGATGTCTCGTCTTGACTGATTCTCATTTGGGAACACTGAACCAAACACCTATGATTGAACCATTGAGTCTACAATCTGAATTCCAATTGAATCATTTTGAGATCAACTGGAACTGGATTTGACCGTGGCTCGTCTTGATTTTCTTTGCTGGTGAGCATCCATTTTGCAGCATCCATTTGGTTCAAGAACATGTTCCAAGACACCATGACAGGTAGGGGTTTTGTCCAGGTAATCATGTGCTCTCGGAAACAAAAGGAATCTGCAAGAATACACAACACACTTAGATGGTTGCTCGCAAGAGCTAGGATCAGAATGAAGTCCCACTTTACACGCATTAGACCTTGACTGAAAAAAAGCACAGAAGGAAAGGTGATGGGTCCGCGGATTTGAAGGTGTTATAACAATGTTTCTTGAATTGCACGGCATTAGGTAGCTAGACCTGATTAAACAATTGAGCAGGTACACATTCAGGCGTCCCTGAATGCTTCCACCAGTCTTCCGTAGCTTCGTTGGGCAACGTAGGAAGACTGCTCGTTGCCCCCCTGCCTCTTTTGCTCGCGCAGTTTTTGATTTTGGTCTGGTTCCTAGTAGCAAGGCCAGGAGCTACTAGTAGCATCCACCTTCTAGTGAGATCTACGGCAGGCAACCTTACTAGGCACAAACCTTGGAAACAGGTGTCAACACAGACACACTATGCCGCAATCGGCGCTCTGTATCCCTTCCGTGAAACAATTGTTTGCAACAGCTTTGTACACATAACGCCGATATCGGCGGTCCGGAAGATTACTAGTCACCTAAAGAGCCTTAGAAAGACAGACAAAGAAAACAAAACAAAAGCGCACGAAGAGGGCAAGAAAGAAAGATAGGTATAGTGACGAGGCCCACTTAGTTAAATGAAAGTAGTTAGCGAGCAGGACTTTTGTCTTAAACCGCCCGGGTAGCTAGGAGTAGGACAGGAGAAACAGAAGGAAAGGCACCAACGCACAAGTGTGTTGAGTGCGATTTCCTTTGTTACCTTAAATAGCAGGTGGGATAGCAACAGAGGCCTGGGGCAGGGAGGGGCCCGAAGGCATTGCCATCAATGGCATTCAAGTATAGCCGATTGGGGCCGGCGCGCCCATTGTTTGAAAGACTCCTGAAAGACACCTGATGCCTGATACCTAAAGAAAGAAAGGCCTCAAGAAACGAAAAGCAACAGAAAGAGAGAAAGAACTCAAGAGCATGACAAGGACACGCAACTGAAGAGCAGCCTGTGGTTACCTAGCCGTGGAAACTGTACAGGTGAATACTTAGACGCATGTGCAAATCCTGACTGGATCGAAATCTCAGTGAGCCCTGCGGCATGATATCAGTGGTATCGAGCAAAGCAGTTAAGCCAGAAGCAATCAAAAGAAGTTCCAAGGTGGAAGAAATCCCCCAGGATCTGGGTCTATGCACATGCAGCGCCCCTCGACGGGGATCGCACCACAGCCTTCAGTGGGACTCTGTGGCGATACACACTTAGATGGTTGCTCGCAAGAGCGAGGATCAGAATGAAGTCCCGTGACTGAAAAAAAGTGCAAAAGGAAAGGTGATGGGTCCGCGGATTTTAAGGTGTTATAACAATGTTTCTTGAATTGCACGGCGTTAGGTAGCGAGACCTGATCATACAATTGAGCAGGTACACATTCAGGCGTCCCTGAATGCTTCCACCAGTCTTCCGTAGCTTCGTGGGCAACGTAGGAAGACCGGTCGTTGCCCCCCTGCCTCTTTTTTGCTCGTGCAGTTTTTGATTTTGGTTTGGTTCCCAGTAGCAAGGCCAGGAGCAACTAGTAGCATCCATCCTTCTAGTGAGATCTACGGCAGGCAACCTTACTAGGCACAAACCTTGAAACAGGTGTTAACACACACACACACACAACTTGTTCTTCGAAGAGCCGGCTTGAAGAACCGGCGGACGGTGTTCTTCAAGACTCTAGCTGTTACTTCTCGCACTTTCTGCATGGAACCATTCTGCGCACCGCTCAAGGGTGGAAACCTGGATCCATCCGATGTGCCAGCAGTCGTGGAGGTCTTTTCCAAGTCCAGCGGTCAAGGAACTTGGTTCGTGGGCTTGGTTGTGAAACAGGAGCAGGAACTTTTGACCATTCGATTCTTCGATGAGTGTGGAGAACGGAAGGAGAAGCTTCTAGCTTTAGATGCTGAAGAGGTGGATTACTTTGGGAGCCACTTGGGGTGGCCTACGCCGCCGTCCGTGGTGAAAGTTCCTTCCACCACGCGGAAGGGCCAAGTCTCGTATTTGGATCCTGCGATGCAACAGAAGTTTGCCACGCCGGAGCTGGCTTGGCAAGCCTACTTGGAGCAGCATCTCAAACACGGACACGCGCCGGAACGGCACCGTTGTCCAACCATCACTCCACTCAACCAACCGAGCGCTGCGCAGGGGTCTCCACCGACCTTGATGGAGAGCCTTCGAGACCGCGGGACCGAGCCGCGCTCGCTGACGGCGAAGATCTCCCAGCTCTGCGAGAAGTCCTTGGAGCGCTCCGACCTCGGCGACCTCCTCGGACCTCGGACCGAGGCCACCGCGGCGGGCCGCTTGGCCGAGGAGTTGGCCGCCGCCCGCGCCGAGGCCGTCCGAGCCGTCCAGGAGCGGCGCCGGTCGGCGGCGCGGCGGGGGACGTGAGAGAGGGCGCAGGCGCAGCGCCCGTCGCCGGCGCCAAAGGATGCCAGACCGGACCCAGGTCCTTTGCGCGAAAAACAGGATGGAAACAGTTGGGCTTCGTGTTGAGATTTTGAGTTTCTCCCAAAAGGGCCCGCCTCTTCGGACTCGCCTCCGAGGCGCTCCCGAGCTCGGGGCACCCAGTGTCTTGACGGTGTGCACCGGTCGGGAAAGACTCGCCTGGCGTCGGTCGCGGAACTTCTAGGGACAGAAAACATGATCCGTTTTTAGACGAAGTCGTCCTTGTTGATTTCCTGACTCAGACAGATCGACGCGCGGGCGATTTTGAGGCCCAAGAGAGGCTCCAGAAGAACCGGAGCTTGACAAGCCCGAGCTGGACAAGGCAAGCCACAAAAGGAAAGAAAACAGACACAAAACCCGTACTTTGGTGGGCAACCACCCCAAGTTTTGGTGAGGGCCTCTCTGGAAGAATTGTTTGTTTCACCATGAAACCGTTTTTTGGTGTGTGGGTGGTCTTTTCTTCTGTTTCATTTGCATGTTCAGATGGCCCTGAGACGCTAGGAGGAGTGGATCTCGGGGCTGGTGGCGTTAGATCGCGAGGCGGGACGGGATCCGCTGCATCTCTCGGGTGCCGATGCGAACCGTTCGGGTGAAGCAGCGTGATCGACGGAGGCCGCGGCGCTGGCGGAGGAGCTGGCCACGTGGCACAGCGGCTGGGCACGGGGCGAGCGGTGCGCCGCCGAGCTCGCCGCCTGCGCGGACGAAGGTGGCGAGGAGTCCCGGAGGCGAGGTCCGGAAACCCATCGAGTTCGGCTTGGAGACCTTTGGGTCATCAATTGCGGGGGTCATCAAGTTCGATTCTCACCTTTTCGAAGACTATTGGAAGGACCTGTTTATCAGGTCGACGACGGGGTTCGCGCCTTCGATCGGCGCCTTCAGGTGGACCGAGACACTTTGGATGGGACTCAGCGAGATCCGCTGCCAGGTGCCGCGGTTCGCGTCGCAGTCCCGGACGACCGGGTCGGGTCGTTTTTATGCCGCGTAGGGTGCGGTGCGGTGCCGGAGTTTCGATCACTAGACTAGGTGATAGCTATAAGGCATGCTATAGGATTCTATAAGCTATAGGGGAGTTCTTTGGGCGGTTCAGGAGTTCTTTTTCTTTTTTTCTCCCAGATCATCCATAGGTCCGAGAGAGTCGATGCTTGCAACCCGGCCGGTGACGCCGGTGACGCCGTCACCGCGCCGCTCCCCGCGATGCGGACAGGTGAGGAGCTTCGATCGCTGGAGCTCCAAGGTTCGGGCTTTCAATGGGGCCACGGTGCATGAGCTTTCAATGCTTTCCAGGCGCTCGAGCTCCGGATCGATGCCTACAAGGCCGGTGAAGAAGGTGGCAAGACGAGAAGGTGAATTCCTGGAACAGCCCTTGCTGGCTATGTACATAAAGCTTGCTGTCCGCCATGGATCCTCTCTGTGACCGTCGTCCGTCACACCGGTGAGGCGCGGCAGAGCGAGCACTTCGAGACCTTGGCCGACGCGCAGGAGTCCTTGGAGGCGAAACGGTCGACGCGGAGGGTGGACGGGTCGGGTCCCGGGAGGGGTTTGCACCGGGGTTTGCACCGCGTGGGGTTTTCCAACATCCGATCCTAAGATTTTAGGAGCTCAAGCGTAGCTTTCTTTTGGGTCTCAGATGTATTCGTCGGAGATGTCAGGATAGCCTCCCACGTTTCGCCTTCAGGCCGAGCGGCGAGCGGTACACATGTACACTCCCTCTTCACGTCTCACGAGTGATCAGCTCGACAGAGACAGGTGGCCACAGGACACCGAGTCAACCACTTCTCGTCCAGGTGGCCATCCAGAAGCTCGAGTGCCTTCAGTGCTTTGAGCCTCGAGGACGACGGGCGAAGCGACGACGAAGGGAGGGCAGGGTCGATGTCGGATGGGAACCGAGGGGAAAAGAAAAGGTCGTTGGTCTTCTTTTCTTCTGGACGAGGGACTCCATATTTTTTGGGACTCGGTTTCAATCACCTGAATTCACGTATCTAAATTCTGAGGTGTTTAACACATGTCGCTGTCCATTTTTGGCCACATCGAGCGCTTGAATAGCAGGAAAGCTTCCCCCCGGTGCCTTGAGGGCGGAGCTTCAAGATCGAAGAAGCGTGCCTACTGCTACCTACTCCCTGCCGAACACGTTCGCCCCGAGGCTTCGAACCGCTGGAACCGCTGGAGCCGCTTCCCTCGGCGCCGAACAACGGTGTCCAGCACTCGGTCCGTTCGACCCTCGGTCTAGTGGCGTGGACGGATTGACATCGAATCATTGAAAGGAGGAAGAAGATGCTTCTGTTTATTCAGAGTCTATTTTTTTGTTCAAGCTGCAAAAACCAGCATGAAACGATGCTCCGGACTTTTGTCACTCTAAGAACTCATACTCCCACATCAGAGCGCCTTCTTGACTGAGTCTCTTTGTTCACTGCTCGCCAACGAGTAGAACTAAGGAGCGACTCTCGTGTTTTCTCCCGGAGAGGTCTGAGCGACCCTGCTCGTTTTGCACCGATTCTCCCATGGCCGTCTCTCTCTCTCTCTCTCTCTCCGAGGCAAAGCGCCGGTGAAGGCGACTTCGGGACCACCGCAATCTGACGAACGGAAGTGGCTGACTGGTTGCTACAGGTGCTAGGTAAGCCGGCCTCGGCCTTGGTGCCCTTTTTTTCCCTATTCAGGCCTTGGTGACTTCACTTTTCGGTTGCTGAACACAAGCATTCGACCCCGCACCAGGCAGCCTCCGTTCCTTTGCCGTTCCGTTCCGCCAAGCTTCGGGCCTTCGTCAAACTGCAGGAAGATGCGGAGCTTCAGGAGCTGAAGGCGGAGCTGCTGAAGCTCGATGAGGCGCCGCCGTGGGCGTTCGACAACGGCCTTGTGGTGTGGGGGCGACCACAACGGTGGCCCCGCACGTGTTCTGCGGTGGTGGAAACCTCTGCACGACGTGTGAACGAGCGGCGCATTGCTTATTGCATCTTATTGCACCATATTGCGCCCCCCTGCGTTTCGCCGGTCTTTCAACATGTCCTGTCTTTTCTTGCCTCGTTCATTCCCGGATCAGGAGTTCGGTGCGTTCTTTTTTTGCGTTCCGGAGTATGTCGTGGATGTAGCGGAAGCACGTTCTTTTCTTTGGTCAAGATGAGAGACAATACCATCAGGAGTCAAAGACCATGAGAATCATTCATAAATGGTCATTTTAGGCGACCTGAACAGGAACTTCCATGAACTTCAATATATCTTCTTTGGACTTCTACAGTTTCTACAGCGTATAAACAAAAATAATACATTACGGGTGCCCAATGGAGACCTGTAAGTAGGGTAGGGTAGTCTATTCGACATAGTAATATCAGTAGCATATAATCTGTTTTCTACAGGGGCCATGGATAGTTCGTTATGTCTTCAGCTTGTCTCCCCAACGGCGCAGGCTCCGGGCGGCACCGGTGGCTGGCGTGCTTCACGGCACGAGGCTTGGCGTGTTCACCGGGCGGAGCGGCGGAGCTCGGAGCCTACAAACCCTGGTTGAGTCCAGGAAAAGGACCTAGTTTTTAGTTCCTCCCCAGGTCATAGTGGTGGATGGAATTCTTCCTACTCATTTCTCTTTATGTATCCGTTTTCTGCTTCCTACCAGGACCTTCCCACCTTTTGAGATCCCAGAATGAGGTCACTTAGGTCTTGAAAAGGTCACTTACCAATCCTGAAGAGGTCACTGAGAAGGTCCTGGTATGTGAGCGTTCGTGACCGGTGCGACGTGGGGATCTGCATGTCACCTGTCGTCGCCGTCGAGTGGATCGATCGTGCGAACGAACTAAGAGGTCTCCAGACGACGTGGCACTTGGCCTGTCACGTGCGCGGAACACGAGCCAGACATGCCGACATGCCTTTCAAAGATCGAAGGAACTCTATGAAGCGCTATGAAGGAACGGAAGCCTTCCAGGTTGGACACATATAGCCATATAGATCCATTAAAACAAAACCCAGGTCGACCCGACCTGATCGCCCCCGCGTGGTCGCCCGATGCCGCGATGGCGGACCCTCTCGTCGACCCGCTCTTCACGCTGGGCGGGGCAGCGCTGGAGGAGCGCGGCCGTCTCAAGAGCTCAGCCTATGCAGATCGGCACCGGCGTGGCGGAGTTTGGGGATGCGCAGTTTGGGAGTTGAAGTCCTAGTTGGGAGTTTATTTATCAAAACAACTCACAATATCTCACCATATAATATATAGTCCATGAATTCATTTTTTTCATATGCAGTTTCCAAAACAGTAAGTAAGAGCACCACCACAAACCCACCCAAAGGCGCTGGGGAGGAAAGGAGACAGAGAAAGCCACAGTGTGGTCCTGCGCCAAATGGCGCAGTCGTGCGCCATGTGACTCATGTGACTGTCCATATCCAGAGGGTTTCGCAGGATCACCTCGCGAGGCAGTCGGGGATCTCCGCTGATCACCACGTTCGCCGCTGATCACTCGATCCGCTCCCGCTGCATGAGGCCAAGTTCATCGTCCAGTTTCGCTCCGAGTCCAGGAACAGGCGCGATCCAAACGGATCTGTTCCAAACAACGGGCCTTTCTCCTTTTTCCTTTCACGCTTTGAGGTCGACCGGACCGAAGAAAGAACGGGGACGGGGGCGTCATGGACGCCACCAGGGGGGCGACCCCTTCGAAACTCTCATGGCCTTCGGAGGCAGGAGCATCCCCAGCCCTCGCTGCCGGGCTTGCGCAGCGGCGAGACGTCCGAGTCGCACCTGCGTTGCTGGGAAGACTCGAAGGGCGCCGGTTGGATCGCCGCCGTGCAAGGCGCGCGGGCGAACGCGTGCGCCCTCCGCATGGTTCGGTGGTCGGACGACGCCAACCCGACCGCCGACGGCTCCGCGTTGGGAGGCAAATCGGCTTGGTTCAGTTTGTCTTCTTGGGGCTCCTGGCGCCTGGCCTTCCTTTTGGCCAAGCTCCAACGAGACTTGTGGCTGAAAGGCGTGTAGACCTCTCGCGTGGTGAAAGGAGTTGAAAACCACCAGAAAAACTGCTTCCGGATCGCAGATCTGAAACCCAGTCGACCTTCTCCAGCTTTCCCACCCCTCTCTCTCTGTCTCTCATTCTCTCTCTCTCTCTCCTTGGCAGGTGGCGTTGAGGCCGGGCCGCCGCAGGTTGTTGCGCCCAGAACATCTTTGTGAAGGGAACGTCGCACGGGACCCCACGTGACAGATATAATTCTGTTTCACCCGCTCTCGGGACCCGCGACGGTCTGAGTGTCTCCCGTCAGGTGCGGACGGTGAAGACGTCGACGGAAGAGGCCAAGGCCGGAGTCTCCGTCGCGTTGGTGGAGTCCGATTTGGTAATTTTTGTCGAATTTGTGGTTTTGTCTCCACAGTTTTTGTCGAATTTTTGTTGGTTTTTGCAATGTTTCTTGCCATATGCCATGTAGGTCAGCGGTCAACGAGGACGACCCAGGAAGGAACCCAAAGAGGCGACGGGTGATTTGTTGGGAAACAGATGACACATTTTCCTTGCGAAGTTGGCAGGTTCCAGAACCACGTCCAGAGAAATGCCAAAAGACTGAAGTCACGCCAGACCTTTCAGCGTCTCAACTCAATTTACTGTGTGAATTCGTGTCAGATCTATTCCAGTTACACACTTGGAAAGGATACGCATTTCTTGACCCTTGAAATGTCTCCAACATTCAGTGTGTGAGTGCCCAATGAGCTTCATTCGACGTCCTTGAAGTCAGCAAAGAAGGCGAGCGTCCCTGAAGATGTACTAGAATTGTGTGGATTCAACACGGATGGATAACCACGTGCGATATTTTTTCTCCTGGCGCCCGGGCGCTCGGCGCCGAAATTCTGCATAAAGCCTATAGTCAGCTAGTGGTGCCACGCAAGCGGCTCTGATGAACCTTCAAAAGAGCGGCAAAGACTTGCTGACATTGCTTGATCTGTGGCAACCGATGGTTGATTTGCTTCATTCTTCCGCCTTGTAGCAGAGATAGACACCTTTTGGCAGCTAAAGTGGTGATTTCAATGATTTCACGGATCCAAAACGGACCCGCCAACAGAGCGCGACGACAATTCTTCAATCCTTATGCTGCTTGTCTACGACTGACTATTATAACTTCTGTGCTTGGTGTGCGCGTTGCAGCTTCCTTGTGCCGACCTCCACACACTGGGAAATACACGCGCTGGCTCCCCACACAAGTCTTTTTGCTCGGAGATTGAATACTTTGAACACCTCGCTACGCTCCAAGGCTAAAGCGGCTAAAGGCCGAGGACGAGGACGACCCAGGAAGGAACCCAAAGAGGCGACGGGTGATTTGTTGGGAAACAGATGACAAATTTTCCTTGCGAAGTTGGCAGGTTCCAGAACCACGTCCAGAGAAATGCCAAAAGACTGAAGTCACGCCAGACCTTTCAGCGTCTCAACTCAATTTACTGTGTGAATTCGTGTCAGATCTATTCCAGTTACACACTTGGAAAGGATACGCATTTCTTGACCCTTGAAATGTCTTCAACATTCAGTGTGTGAGTGCCCAATGAGCTTCATTCGACGTCCTTGAAGTCAGCAAAGAAGGCCGCGTCCCTGAAGATCTGAACCAGAATTGTGTGGATTCAAGACGGATGGATAACCATGTGCGATATTTTTCGGGCGCCCGACTCATTGTATCCCTCCGCTGGTATAGTCGTGATCCTCCACTTGTTCACGAGTAACGGGCTTTCAGGCTTGGCGCCGTACGAGTTCGGAATCACGTGACTGCGCCGACTGCGCCGAGTTTACTCGGCGCGCGCCACGTTGCCCCGACTTCATCGTCCAAAGAACAGGTGGCGACGGCAACTTCACCCGACTTCTGGGTCTGAAGCTTCGCTCTGTCAAGATGGAGGTTGAAAAAGGTCTGGTCCGAAAAAGGGGAAGATGGAGGCCCTGTCAAGATGAAGATTTGGCTTTGAAGGTCTGGTTTGGTTCACATCAAACCTCCCATCGCGCGTCCCGACGATCCGACGAACGCCAACGCGGCCGTCCGGACGCCCAGGCGACGCCCGACCCGGCAGACCCTCCCGCCGACCCGGAGACGGAGGTGTCTTGGCGTGGGAGCAAGCGCGGGGCGTGGTTGCGAAGAGAGACCCGTGGGACCAACATGGTGATCCATTTTTGGAAGCAAAGACGATTTCTTTGGACCTCCGAAAGAGATTTCCTTCTTCGGGTCGTCTAATGCTCATCATTTCCACAATGAGAGTCCTTGGACTTGATCCTTTGGAGAAGATCTGGTCGAATACCTCGTGCACCGAGGACCCCGCGAGGGCGCCGAGGCAGGAGACGCTGGTCGCGCCAGCGCCGGTCGGGCGCTGGTCGCGCGGGCGCGCGCGGGACCGGCCATGGCCAGGTTTCCGGAGGTGCCCAGCGCGGAGCAGTTGCATGAGCTGATGAACGAAGGTCGCCTCACATCCTTTGTGAGCGCCCCAAGAGTTGGGGGTGTTCGTCGTCCACCAGGATGGTCGTTAGTGGCCTTGTGGTATCAGTTGGCTTCTCAGCTAAGAGCCCAAGTATAGGTGTAGTAGGTCGGGAGAACGTGGACATGTTTTCACCCACATCGGTCCCCAGGTGCGGTGGAAGAAGTGGCCCTTCATCTACAGCCCTGCGTGGGAGGCGTGCGTGAAAAAGACGAGCACACATTATGAGCACACCACTGGACATGCCGGGTATGAAATTCAGTGCTTCGTATTGAATTGGCCTTCCCAAACACCCTCCACTCCCCCATCCGATTAGGGAAGACGTGCTCCAAAAAACAGAGCTTTTCGTTTTTCACATGTTTTCACACGCTGTTTTCCACACGGGAAAAAGCGCCAGAAGCCAAAACCAGCGCCGCGACACCGCCCGAAACTCGGTGGTTTTCACTGCGGCAGGGCCAGCGCTGGAGCAAGCTCTTGGAGGACAAGTCCCGTCGAAATGAGCCCAACCCCTGGAAGCCAAAGATCAACGATCATTTGACCAAAAGGGGACCAGGTCGGACCTGCTTCACCAGGGAAAAGTCTAGCCGCCTAAGCCTTATTGACGTTCCCGTCTAGCCTTCGGGTCTGGCCTTCTCGCTGCGTGGACCTCAACCTCGACCGGGGGCGGCGACCGGGGGAAGCTTGAACCGTCACGGTCTGACTGGGATGGACCTGTGTCCGCCGAGCCAGTGACGTCGCGTGACGTCGAAGGTCGCGCGTGTGGGAAACTGAGGGGAGGTCAGCGCGTCGCTGGGATGGGCAGAACGGCCACGTGGTCGTTTGGAGGTGTCTGGAAGTACTCGCCTCGAAGTTGTTTTTTGGTGACGCGTGTCAGAAGTGCGGTTTCGGTTGATGTGGGAACGAAGATGTCGTCACTATTCGTGGCGTGTTCTTTGGGACGGATGGCGGTTGGAGGAAGATGAAGCAGTTGGTTTTTGGAGATTAATGTAGGTTTATGTCACTGTGCCTGCTATTGGGATGGAGTATCCTCAGCCATCATCACCGTCGCCAGTGTTCACGCGCTAGCTCGATGGAGAGAAGAAGAGAGGAGGAGAGAGGAAGAGGCAAGGATGAAATAAGAAGGAGTGGAAAGAATAAGCGGAGGGTAGCAAACAGGGATGGGGAGATGGGGCCGCAGGTGCAGACAAGAGGAGACGTCGTTCAACATCTTGGCCCAAACATTGGAACTGAGGAACGGCTTAGGGCGATGGCTGCGGGGGTGTTTGTCCGGCATCTTCTGCAGAACATGACGGGACAAAGCCTGCAAAGCACCTCCGCCAGGGTCTGAGGCTTGAGCATTACGCATGCTATCAGGCTCTTAAGAGTTGCAACATGTGTTCACAGCTCACGTGTTTTTCTTCTGTCGGTGCCAACCAGTGTCCCGTAAAGCGTTTTCATTGTACATCGCAGTTCTTCAGGGTGCGTTATCCTGGGTGTCTTTGTCCGTGCCCTTCGGCGCGGAAGGTAAGGTTGGTCTTCCGACCAAGATCGAAGTGCGCCCGTGCAGGACGTGACATCGGGGGCCCTCGGCAATGAAGACCTGCTGGAAGAAATCCTCATGAAACTCCGCAGGCGCGGCCATGTGGCGCCACCAAGCAAGAAGGGCTGGCCCAACCCTCGCGAGACTCGTCGCGCGCGACTCGTAACGTTGCGCGTGTGGTCGTTGCAGGCAAGCAGCGGGCGAGAAGCTTTCAAACTCGAGGCCCGTAAAATCTTTGGCGCGTAGGTTTTTGTATCTGATGGTTACCTGCCACGCAGCTTGTGCGTTTGCATTTTTGCTAGTCCTCCACAAATCAAACATATCGAACCAATTCAACTTGCGTGTGCTGTCAAAAACTCCGTCGTTTCCTTCAAGTCTTTTCAAAAGAGGTGACTGACCGATTCGACCGATGTCGGAATTTCCCGAGGCTCCTGCGGAAGCAACGCGAGGCGCAGCGGAAGCGCGCGGCCGCCGAGGCGGCGGAACGCCCGGCGCCGCAGCGACGGCCACCGCCGCAGGCGCCGGCCGCGAAGAGAGGGCGACCGACGTGAGAGGGCGACGTGGATATAGAGATCCAATATCAAAACAAATCACATAGTCTGTTCCAGTGACCTTCCCACCTTTTCAGATTCCAGAATGAGGTCGTCTCGATTTCAGGTCACTTCTCAATCCTGAAGAGGTCACTGAGAAGGTCCTGGTAGACAGCGATAGAACGGGTGTCTTTTCTTCCTGCTTGGGTTCAATTGACTACGTCCAGCTTTGGACATCAACCGCAGATCCAGACTTCCATGGTTTGATGACTTGCTCACACGGCCACAAGACCTGCTGAGACATCTCAAAGCGAAGCATCCAGTATCATGACGTTTGGAGGAATGCTTCCGTCAAGATATTTTTGTTCCTAGTAGCGATGCCAGGAGCCCCTAGTAGCTTCCTTGCTCCTAGTAGTACGGCCAGGAGCCCCTAGTAGCTTCTTGTTGCTAGTAGCGACGCGAGGAGCCCCTAGTAGCTTCCTTGGAAGCACTCCCATGGTCATTGAATGTAAATTTCTTCAAAGTGGAGGTCAATTGGATGTTCCTCTGAGGTGCCTGGCTGCAGCTGTGGGCGGCCCATCCATACTGAGAGGCAACGAACCACACCGAACATGTGAACGTTTGCTCGCGCCCTTCCAGTTGAGATCAGGAAAGTACCACAGGGCCCCCTAAGGGGTGTCCAATTAGAGCTCCTTAGAGGTTAAGGGATGTCCATTAACCACCCCATTAACTTCTGGAGATCTCGGTCCAAGTCCGGCGTTGGACCACTTCCAGAAGTGATCTGGTATTTCTGTACATTCGACGCCCAGGTGCCGCCTCTTCCGTCCGCGCTGCGAGGTCCTTCCCTCGGTGTGTTGGGGGCATATGCCATAGGAGTCTGTATACGCCCAAGGCCGCGCATGAAATTGGCTTCACTGCATCTCGACATGCTTATAAAGTTTTTAAGGCATTTCTTGGAGTGCAGTTGCTTGGTCGTGTTTTGCTCTTCTCCACATAGTCCTACACATGGTTCCACACGCGCCGTGTGAAACGGCGCTCCGACGAGGCCCGGGCGCCGCCCCACCCACCGCGGCCGCCGCCCCCCTCCGGGTCCATCGGCTGCGGCGCGGTCGTCCGGCGAAGGAGAGCCGCTCACGGCGGCGGCGAAGCAGGCGACCCGGGGTTCAGAGGGGGCGAAAAAGGGAAGAGGCGCCAAGGCTTCAAGGAGCCGATCTATTGCGTTTTTTACCGAACATATTTAGGAAAGAACACGGAGGAAAACGTGGCCAAGATAGAGTCAGGACACAGGCCTGAAATATTTAGTTCTGTTGGTTCTATAGCTGTTTGCTCAGTCAGGCAGCTAGCAAGCATGCACCTCGCTTTGTGCCTCGGGTCACTGAGCCAAACCCAAAGAAACCAGGGCAAAACCACGACCAAACGTGAACGGCACAACAAAGTGGAAACAGGGTTGATAAATAGCATCCGTTTGAAATAGATGCTGATCTGATGTTTTTCTTGGTGTCCATCTAGTTTCCTCATGCTTCCCTATAGCCTTCAAAGAGGCAATGTTAAACAGGGTTGATCTGGTGTTAGTAGTGTAAAAAAAGCCGTCAAATCCGCTGTTCGGGATTCAGGCTCTTTGACTAAATGGGTGGGTCAGCAGTCGTAACATAGGGGCTTCCTGAATTCACGTGGTCTTTGGGATTGAAAATCAACCCACCCACCCCGGGAACGAGGACGACGAGTTCGTCTCCCTCGGATCGAGGTCTTGCAGTTGGAGCGGCACATCGAAGCGCAGCCGAAGAGTCGACAGAAGCTGCTGTGGAAGCGAGCCATGCTGAGGCGCGCTTAAGCCAACGGCGCCGCGACGGCGACGCCCCCGTTGCGATCGATGGTCGAGCGATCGGTTGCCTCCAGGTGCCATCCTGATAAGGTTAAGGAGGCGAGTTCCGAAGCTCAAGCAGCAGAGGCCCCACTCGCGCAACGATGCGGCGCGATGCGGCGCGATGCGGCGCGATGCGGCGCGGTGCGGCGGAGCCAATGCCTCTGTCTCCAAGTCTCAGCGACCGATGAAGATGGCCGACCAGACGTTCGACTTCTTTCGTTCGCCGTTCGCTGCACGGGGAAGTGAAGTCCCTGCCCCGTCAGCGACGTTCATCGTTTCCAGACCGGCCCCAGGGACGTGGGACGATTGGAGAAGGAACATCCATAAAATCTATTATTCTTTCTTTTAAATAAGGAGGTAACATCCATCAGGTTGATGATCCATATGTAACATCCATAATGGTTCAGGAGTCCATCATCTACATGACTTGTGGACCTCAGATCTGAAAGCAATTAATTTGGTCCACGGTGACCAGACCCGAACGAACGGTGACCATGACCCGAGCACCTGGAGGACCCTGGATGCCTCTGTCTGTTGTCGCGGCAAGAGTCGGACGTAGTTCTTCTCCAGGTCTTCATTGAGGTGAAGAAGAAGTACGACCTCTTCGTGAACCTCAATGACTGAGCGAAGAAGTCGAATGCCACGAGCGCGGTCCGGGCGTGGGTAGACAGACTGTTGAGCTCGGCGGACGTGCGCGGAAGGCCGGTCAACAAAGGTCGAGTCGTCTCGACTTGGAAAGGCCCACCTTGCGGTGGAATGGAAGCGAAAGCTGCCGGGCATCCAGACCGCTGGTTTTAAGACCTGTCTTCGTCGGGTGCTGGTTTTGGATCCAAACGAACATATCTCCTCATGTTGGGGTTTGGTTCATCCAGTGAGTAGTGAGTGGATGTTCTGGGCACTCCGACTTCCTCCAATAGGCACCCCTTTGTGACTCCTGGTATATCCTGTTTCGTCCGTGTCCATGGTGACGTTCTGCAAGGCCTTCCTCCGTATCCTGCGCATCTTTCGCATGCAGGTGTGGTGCTATCTGCTATCTCTGGTTTGTCGTTACAAACTCTTGCGACACGACGCCGAGCAGTTTTCACCGCCTTCCGCACGCGCCAGTTGACGCCGGAATGCTACACCCGCTTGGAGCAGCAGTTTCCGGATGTGAGTCAGGCGAGCGGGAGGGGAGGGGCTCCGGAGACGGTTCGAGTTGTCTGAGAACGGCGCGGCAGTGTTCTTTTCATTGGGCGTCCTCTCTTTTCTGGGCACTGTACACTGTATTTGGTAATTAGACTGACTTCCAAAATACACAGAAAAGTATAGATCCCCACTAAGACTACAGACGTGTGTGTGCAATTAGGAACGACCACTATAAATAGAATGTCGCCAGAAGCCATCCCAGGTGGATCTGGCCGAGCACTTGCGCTTCTGCCACGCTCAAGACGCGCGTCAGGCGTGACCTTGTACCGGTCGTACCGACCGGTCGGCGCCGACCGACTCGTCCGGCCAGGCGCGGCGGCGCGTGCTGTTGGCACGCTGGCGGCAGCGAAAGCTGCTGCTGGAGAAGCAGGTGTCGACCGGGTCGACGCACGGAAGCGCGGATGGAATTCTGCGCGAGACGAAGGGGAAGAACGTCATCGCCAAGCAAGAGCGGATGAAAGTCAGCCCATACCCGTGGTGCTTTCTCACCAACATTCTAAGAAAAAACCGTTGAAAAACACACGCTGTTGTACCAGAAGCCAATTGGCAGAAAAAGAGCCTTTCTTCGTTGCAGGAACCCAAAGAGGTCAAGGCACCGGGACTTCGACTCGCGGTTTCGTCGCGAGTCGTTTGGTTCGCCGTGGGCGTGCCAGACGGAGAAAGAAACGCCCAAAAGAAGCTTAAGAAGAGACACCAAAAACATCTGAAAAACCAAAACCATCAAAGAACGAATTGAACAAACCAGACAGTCTTGTTTATATTGCACCGCGTTGTCTGATGTCTGTCCAACCTTCGACATTGCTCTCAAACACCTCACAGGCGCAAGCGCGCCCAGCATCCTTCCGCGCTCGTGAGCAGAGACGCAAGGCGCGCGGATCTCTCGCTGTTTGCGTTGCTCAACTCCCGATGGCGAGATGCCGTGCCGGCCCTCTGCCAGGTGAAGCAGTGGCGAGCAGCCAAGGCCAAAGAGGCGATTCCGACCGCCACCGAGCCGGGCCGCGCGGCGCCGGCAGTATCGTCGAGCCTGCGGGGCTGCGTCGAGAAAATCTCGGCAGGAGATGCTGCGAAGTGCTGAGGAGAAGCAACGACAAGAAGCCACAAAGGCGCACTGACTACGGGCGACCGTATAGGATGGATAGGTCACTGAAATGAACTGTTAAAACACATTCCTTGCAAAGGAACCTCTCGAACCTCCAGAACAGACGAACGAAAGGAACCTGAAGACGAACGCAGCAGGTCAACTGGACCCACCCCACGCGTGGAGCCGCCCGTCGCTGCCAGGCGTGCTTGGAGGCGCAGCGGAAGAGGCGCGAGAAGAAGTCGAAGGAATCCGCCGAGGCGCCGAGCGGCTGGGCGCGATGGCCGGCCAACCGTAAGAGCCAACCGATGCAAACGCAGAAGTGAGTCATGGAAGAGTCACTGTCACTGACTGCTGAACGCACGGTGGTTGAGATCTATCCAAGTCACGAAGTCGACCGCTCTGAGCCTTTGACTAAGGCCTATCGGAAACAACGCGACGAAGAGAAGCGGCAAGTGTGTTGGCCGCATTTCGGACAAGCCAGCACGTGCAAGCGCCAAGCAGTGCAAGACTTGCTTTGCAGGTCTTTCTCTATTTTCAAGTTGGCTCTCTTGCTGTGGCGATATATGACGACGCCCCTCTTTTATCTCTTTTAAATACATATCATTTCAGCAATATTGTTTCGGACGGGTCGGACGACCAAAACGAACGCACAACTCCTTATTTTCTTTTCGGATCCTGCCCTTTCAGGCCCAGATGATGGCCGAGCTGCGTGCCGTGCGACCCGCGCAGCAGCTCTCCGAGGCGACCGGCGCGACCGGCGCAGAGCTGCGCTGCGCGAAAAATATACCATGTTGCGACCACGCAACTAACCACTGAACAACACCAAGTGAAGGAAGGTCGAGCTGTGAATGATCTTCAAGCTGTCTTCTTTTGGTCTCGAACTTGTCACCAAAGCTAGCATGCTAGCTGAGTTCTTCTTTGCTTTTTGGGGTGTGCATTCAAAACCAGGATGTCAAAGACATCATGCACTTGAATTTTGGATGATCCTGGGTAGCGGAAGCACACGTAATTATTGGAGAATCAAGATGACACTCATGGGATTTTGCATGCGTTTTTGCAAAACATCCACTGATTTGGTGTTTGTATTTAGGATTCATTGAGGAGCTTTGTCGGAAGCATGGTCAGCTTCGTCGGAAGCATGGTCATTTGCTCGTTTTTCTTGTGGATGCATCACATAACATTCCGGCTGCGCCTCGTCAGTTGATGAATCTTCATTACCTGAGAGCAAAGTGTTTGAGTTTACTGTCTTCGACATGTGTGGTTTGGCAAAATTGTTGATTGTATCCATACCTGCCAGATTTGCTACCGGCTATTGCCCCAAGACACTCTATTCCTTATACCTTTTACCAGTGTTTATCCT